CGACCCGCGCGGAATTTTCGATGCAGCAGATGCTCACCAGCCGCGAAAAACGCTCGATAGAGCGGGGCTGGAGAAGGAGAGACAGAAAGCTTCGAAAGGCCTAGGCCTACCTCAGCGGCCGGATCAAAGACTTGACGGCAAACGTTGCAGCCAACGAGCAACACATCAAGCGTCTCCAGGACGCCCTCCGGACTNAAAGGCAAGGATGGGTACTGGGGCTACGACCAGTTCGAAGAACAGGTCGAAGACGTGATGGACGTCTTGGAGCACATCGATCCCGACATGCAAATAGTGTTCGAGGTCGACCACTCGTCGGGCCATGGGAAGCAGCGAGAGGATGGTTTGCATGTATCGAACATGAACGTCAAGTATGGGGGGAAGCAAAAGGTGTTGCGGGATTCGGTCATGACGGAGGAGTGCTTGGGTCCGGAGGAGGCGAAAATGTATTTCGCCAACGGCAGGTGGAGCACGAAGTTCAGCGAGGGGGCAGTGTGTGTTGACCAGAAGCTGACGGTGGGCCAGACTCAGACTAGCACTTTCGCGGTATGTGCGCCTCCTCCGTTTTTCGAATGGCACGCTCCGCGCAAAGACAAGAAGAACGCGAAGGGGAAGGTCAAGGAAGGGTACGAGGGGAAAGCGAAAGGGGTCAGGCAGTACCTGTGGGAGCGTGGGTGGTGGAAGGACGGCATGTCAACAGGGGCGGGAGTCAGTGACGATATGCACGTGGAAAAGGTTCTGCAAGCCTTGCCTGACTTTAAGAATGAGAGGACAGCCCTGCAGCACCTGGTAGAGAGTAGGGGACACATTCTTTTGTCGTCTCCGAAGTGTCACCCGGAGGTAGCGGGGGTAGGGATCGAGTACTCGTGGGGGTTTTCCAAGCAGAAGTTTCGGCGGAAGATCAATGATGAGGTCCCGAAGCACTTGCACGACAACATCGAAGAGTCGCTGTGCATACACAAGTACTTGACAATCGGTCGGGTGCGGCGCTTTGCCCGGCGAACACGAGACTACTGCCGGGCTTACCGCGAGATTGCGCTTCGCGGGGTAGTCATCAGGAACAAGGAGTTCATCGAGAAGATGCGCAAGATCCAAAAGGCCCACCGCAACATGTTGGACATGGAAACTAGTTTTCTTGGCTTCCAGTAACAACGTCAGCCGGCCGATGGCGAGGGGGGGGGGTCTCGAGTTGTGTGTGCGTGTTTTGTTTTTTTCTGCGAGATAAACGGGTGTGGCGGGGGTGTGTTTATATGAGTCGGTTTCAAGCTGTAGTTTGCATCATTTTTTTCGGTAAGATTAACCGGTGCGAGAAGTTGTGTGTGTGTGTTGATGAGTCTTTCAGTTTGAATGTTGTTTGTAGATAAGCGGGTATTTTTTAACCGCTGTCAATCAACGAAGTGTTTTTTTTTTTGTACAAGGAAATGTCAACTTTTGTGCGATTTGTGCAAAACATTTGTCATGCGTTTTTGGAGCGCTTACCTTCAGATTACAACCTCTTGCATGTATGTGTGTCACGTCATTACGATCGATAAGCACCCATACCTACCTGTCCAACCAAAGGGGTACAGTCAGCATCTGTGCACCTCTTGCCATCAGGCCGCTTTCGCGCCCCTTTTCTCGGGCTGTGAGGCCTTCATTTTCCTACACAATTTCCGCCCCTGCACCCAGGTATCGAGGTCATTACGCAATTTGCTATTTCCGAGCCGGTTTCCACGAACTAGAAGCTGAAATTTTGATATGTGATTGGGAGTGGTCTTACAAATGCCCCCGAGTCAGGTGCCGTTTTTTTTTTTTTTAAGCAACAAAAACCCGTATGTTAGGATTCTCAGTTATTGAATATAGGGATACCTCACCAAAAAAAAAAAACGGCACCTGACTCGGGGGCGTTTGTAACACTGTTTCCAATCACATATCACAATTTCAGGTTCTAATTCGTAAAAACCGGCTCGGAAATCGCTTCTAACCATTTTGTTAACTTCTTGGCTGGCCCAGCTTGTATTATGGATCAAAGCATTTGTTGGATATTAGCTTTTACACGAGGACATCAACGCAGTAGTATTATAGCAAGCTTACGAACGCATGTAGGATACCATGAGGATTGTCATTGGTTTTATTTCAAATTGAAGAGGAGATAATTTTTCGATGTAAGTGACACTAGAAATACGTCCTACATATGTTGTTGTACTTCGTATTGGTTTAATATTCATGTAGAGTATGAGACATTAAGTGAAAGTTTTCTGAGGTGCATCTGCAATTGTCGGAAGGCAAAAAAAAAAAAAATATGGCGACAATCCCCCCATTTTTCGTGGTGAGACGTGTACTAAGACGTGTACTACACGTTTCAGCGTAGAACTTCACTTTTTTGTGTATTTTTTCGTACAACTCCAACCATCCAGGGTCACACAGGAGGGGGTAAACACCAGGGTTTTTTCCTTCTTTTTATTTCTTTTCATGCCCCACCTTCCTCCTGCGGTGCGTGCTGAATTTTTTATTTTTATCGCGAGAAGGGTCCAGCCGTCCCTTTCCCTCGTCAACGGTGCTAACGTCAAAGTTTGGTATTCCCCTTCTTCTTCCCCTCGCTGCCTCGGGAAGGTTTTGCGTAGGCATGACCCATAGCGAGGGGGGGGGTCTTTCTAGCGAGCAGGGCTAGACTCACCCTCAAGGGATGNATTTTTTATTTTTATCGCGAGAAGGGTCCAGCCGTCCCTTTCCCTCGTCAACGGTGCTAACGTCAAAGTTTGATACTCACGAGAGGTTTATAGCTATGTTTCGCTCTCACCCGCAAATTCGAAAATTTTTCACTTCATGGGGATTTGAACTCACGACCTCTGCGACTAGCGGACTACGAGGATACCACTAGACCACCGGGGCGACCGGCTGGGATTTGTTTGTGTAAGATTTAGCTGATGATATATTATCATGAATCGAAGATATGACTCTTCACAAAACATCCAAAAGGAGGGTGAGTTGTACAAATATCCCGAATCAACCCCCCACACCATCATTGAGACGAAGAATGCGAATGGTCATGAGACGGAACATCGATATCTCAATGACAACGCTTGAAGGGATAAAGCTACGAAGAATAAATTTTGCTGCAGAGCGCGCTATCATCCTGAACAGACGACGACAGAAGAAACAATATCAATGTCCAAAAGCCACACAACACTCTTTTACGCGCACCCGCGCGTATCACCACTGGAGGAATAAGGGTGACTGCCCGAGAGAGTCCAAAATACGGTGACGAGACTCAAACCCCAAACAAATTTCCGAACGAATACGGCCTTTGATACTGGACGCGACGCAAAGGGAAAACTCAACGCAATCTAGGACATCGTAAACGAAAGGTAGGAGAAAAGAGCGACAGGCAAAGGCACGGAGAACGATTGCTAGCGTGCCAGGGTACCCAACTCGTGTAAGGAGACGGCAAGGGCAAGACCTAATGAGGACCAAGGATGCAAAGCACAAATGATTAATGCAAGAGAGGCGGTCGACAACTGCGCCATGGCTCGCTGGCGATACGCATCATACGAAGACACAGAACACAGAAAAGTCGTAGAGATTCACACAACAAGACGACGACTCAGGGGCGCGACTGTGATGAAGGCGTCGCCCGAAGGTGGCGATGATGGAGACGAAGCAGAACGAAGTGTGGGTGACAACGAAAATCCACGAGAGAAGGCGACACCACGGGATGGAATCCCGAAGCACCAAGCGTATGCGACACTTAGGCGGCACGATGGAGCTAAAACACAAAAAAAAATAAGACAAACATTAGTTGTCAAACACTATTACTAGGAAAACGCGGGGAACTCGGTGTCCAAGTGTCCCGAGGCAAACAACACCGACGAAACTTGGGGAGCTCTTTTTCCAAGTGTTCAGAGGCAGACAACACCGACAAAACTTGGGGAACTCTTTTTCCAAGTGTTCAGAGGCAAACAACACCGAGGAAACGTCGGACGGAACCTGTCGAGAGAACCAACGACCAACAACAACAACAAAAAGATAAGCAAAGGCGAGAGAGAACCTACATCCAGGTCGCGGTAGTTTACTGATTCAGACGAATGCAGGCAACATGGAAGAAGGATCACTCGACACTGCGTGTCTTGAGGCGGCGTTGCCCCAGCGTCCAAAACAAAAATAAGTCAACACAAGAAAAGAGAGGACAGAAAACAAAACAAAACAAAACAGAACGGAAGGTGACAGAAGAAAAAAATCAAAACGTGGGCGAGAGGGATGGCACAAAAGACCAAAATAGACCGACTGGAATATGAAAACGACGACGCTAAGAAGAAATGGTGGGAAGAGCCGACGGTTAGGAGTCAGTAAGGAGCGGAGTGCGACCACGGTTGTCGCCCAGAGGGCGCGAACGATGTTTCTCCAAACACCATGATCCACAGACGGCGTCCAAGGCGGTGGAGTAGAGGCACGCAGACAGAGGGAGAACGCTTGGGCCCAGGTCATCCAAGAATCGAACGATGCACGAGCCGCCCTGATGAGCACCAACACGTCCGGTCCACCACAATCCATCACGGGCCTTGTACCATAGCCGCGCGCCAACAGAGAGGGGCGAAATGCTGAAACGAAGCCAAGTCGCGTGAAGCACAAGATCAGCCCCAGGAGGCAAATAGCGTTCTCCACGATTCCGGGCTAGCTCCAGCTGCGCCGCGCGAGTCCGAGCCACTCGATATGTACGGTTACCCTGCTTGCTTTGGCAGACCTCCCGGGACCAGTACAAGAGGATATGTCGACGGAATTGCTCAAGGTCGGATTCCCGTTCCCATGAAGGAGTAGTCAGGCCTACCCAATGNAGCTGCGCCGCGCGAGTCCGAGCCACTCGATATGTACGGTTACCCTGCTTGCTTTGGCAGACCTCCCGGGACCAGTACAAGAGGATATGTCGACGGAATTGCTCAAGGTCGGATTCCCGTTCCCATGAAGGAGTAGTCAGGCCTACCCAATGCGTCTGGTACAGGACAGCGAGAACGCCGCTACGGCCCCGCACCAGTTGATGTCCCGAGATGTAGTCGACCTCGAGGCGCCCGACAGGCACCGACACATCATCCGCGGTGACGTGGAAAGGTGGACATTTATCTCCGAAAGAGTGCAGAATATAGCTCGAAAGCTCGGCGGGTAGAGACTGCGGCAAGTCGTCCATCTTGTACGGATTGCGACAGGGCTTGCAACGAAGGACAGACACGCGACAATGAGCTGCCGGGCCGGAAAGATCGGAAGGGAGGTCCAGGTAG